ACTGTTAAGTCTCCTAAAGCAGGAGCTGCAAAGGCGAATTGGAACACTGCCTCGCGTGAAAATCTCCTTGGTGCAGGGCGAAGACCGAGATGCCGGCGCCACGGAGTGCCTGCTGGTGCAACCAAGGTCCCTCTCCGAAATTTCGCGTTCGGTTAGAGCGGCCAAAACGATGCGCCTGAATGTTCGCGCCCGAGGTCGAAAGACCAGTAGCGTCAACGGTCTCTACGCTGATCAGTTTACCCTGTTGGTCGAATGCCAGACCCTCACCGATACACCACACATCGAGCTGACATCCGTGCTTGCTGATAGGGATAGTGCACAGCAGGTGCCCTGTCTACGAGTCCTAGTCAGTGTGGGCATAGATGACCTGCTCGACTTTCAGATCAATAACAAAATTGAACTGGCGCAACCGATAGACGAAGGCGTGCCCCGGGGCACCGTGGTGGGTGCCCTGGTCTCAAAGTATCCCCTCGGCGAATGGCGAGAAAAGAATTGGCCAAATTATTTCGCACAAAACAGGATATTTTGCATTCGAGTCGTCGACTCAAAGGGGGATCTCTGTGAGTACATCGGTGAAGAAGAAGTCAACTACTGTAAATTTAGTTTGGGAATGTTGGGCATAGTATATGACGTTTTTCTAGAATACCATCCGATGTCGATGTCAAAGGTAAGAATAATTTTGCATTTAGGAAAATACTATCCTGTGTGTGTGAAAAATCTGATAATACCGTGTTCTGTAGCGTTACTATGTATGGTCGGGAAAAATAACTTTTGCATAGGTTATTTGCTCCAATTCTATTCTCCCACTATCGTCATCTTTCCTTTCCGAGTAATAAGTCAAAAATTCGACAGAGTCCTAGTTTGGGTCCCCGGGTAGCGCGCGAAAACCCCATCCTTCTGTACCACAGAACAGGGTGTGATAAAGAGTACACAGTCTGGACAAGATAAAGGAAAAAATAAAAAAGAGAGATTATAGAATTAGAACAAATCACGAATAATTATTTAAGTAGTATGAAGTTTATCAACAAAAAACAGGCCATACCTAAAATGTGAAATTGTGCAAATAGTGGTAAATAACTAACTAAAACTTAAAAAAACTAACGAAAAAGCTTTAAATTTGCGAAAATTCCCATTGAAAATTTCAGAAGATGAAATGGCGAAAATACATTTGTTTTCGATAATGCTCATCAGGTCTTTACATTTATATGGTAATTAAGTAAATAAACTATGCGAGTTGGTAGAAAA